AAATGTGTGGCCGGATCTCGTCGGATGAGCTGCAACTTGAGAGCTGGCGTCATTTCTGCGCACCGCTGCCGCGTGTTCGGCCATTCGCGTTTGGATTTGTCTTCCGGTTTCTCCGACGCAGTTGCTTTGTCCACAACTGCACCAGATCCGATAAATGACTCCAGACGTTTCTTGCCGTGGCAGTGGGTCTTTCGGTTTCATTAACATGGCCGAATGCAGTATTTATAGGATGCAGTAGCCATGCTACCGCATGGCTACTGCATCCTATAAATACTGCAGTCGCACATGCATGAACCACCCTTATCTGCCTTTCTCTCTGATTATGGATTCCAGCAGGAATCCGAAACGTCAGGCTAATAAAGCTCTTGTCGCTGCGATCGTTTCTTCTTCTTCACGGTGGACATCGTCGGCAACGACTTTCGAACTGATCCGCCCATCACGAAAATCCCTGCATGTCTTTCCAAACCCAAAAAACCACGTGCATGCGCCCTTATTAGAGACAAGAGCAACTGCTGGCCTATGAAACTCGGATGGCCAGAGTAACTTGGCACCTCAAGAGTAGTGACGGTATTCTACGCAACCTAATCTGGCGAAAGTTTTACGTCTAAATGTTTGGATAATCTCGTACAAGTCTCCTGTTCATGGGGAATATATTTCTTGGTGAAGTTATCAATGGGAAGTTTTCCAAATTCAGACAGAAACGAACTGTACAGTGGGTGGACTAACTGATGAAATGTAAACCGAAATTCCGAAATGGGTTTTCGTTTCGAAAAGATTAATTAAGTAAAGTTTTAAGACTAATCATCTAGCAGCATAATTTTATAATAATTCTGTTATCTAAAGATGTCGGCTTTGGAACGAATGCCTTTGCGGCTGCATGCAAAGAAATACACTCTGCAAAAATGACTACTTATGTAGCATGCATTTTCCTCATTGCTTTTCGATGCCCTTAAAAACTCAATTATATTTCATGGAAAACATGCATAAAAATATTTATTCTTTCGCTCATTCAGTAGACAATTACG